CAGCAGGAAAACAAAAACTAAACTGCCTCATCTACCTGCTGCCAATACCACTTCTTGAGACCTCATAATTAGCTGGCATGCAGTTGATTGAAGAAGCTCAGGGTCTCCTAAATGAGCAAGAGAAAAACCTTTGATTTGTCTTTTGATTGCACAGGGTGGTTCCTGAACAGACAGGCCAATGAAGCAGCCCCAGCATCAACAACAAAACAGCCAAAGGTGTTGTCCCTCCTCCCAAAAACTTCCTGGGTGATGACTCCCCTGCCTGATGGTAGGGAGGCTGAAGAATGGCCTGTGATTATTGTTGGACTCACCAGAATAAAAATGATGAGAAGGCCAACAGTATTGCCTTCGTTCCAAAAAATAAAACACACAATAGTTCCGGGGAAAAGAAAGAAGAGGGAACATCCACCAGACATCCCCTAGCGCTATGGGAGGTGATGAAATGTTTTCTGTTATTTTCTGGTTTGTTTTGGTTTTTTGTTTGTTTGTTTTGGGGTTGTTTTGCTTTGTTTTCTAAGAATTTAGACTCAATTTCTTTAGGCCCCAGAAAGGAAAACTTCTGATTAATTTTGGAGGTAATTTATGTAGCCAATCGCCATCTACAAAGCCTGAAACAGGTGTTATTTAAGATCACAGATGTATGAATTGTTCAGAAACATATCGTTTATAAGTCTTCTTGAAATACCCAAGAAGCTTTAGGTGAATTGAGAATACAATCCACAGTACTTGTTTTGAAGGGCTCTTCAATAGGAAATGTCATTTATCACCATTCTTTCCTCTACAGAAAAAAACAGGGAGTTTTTTTACAACTTCCAAGCATTGAAGAATAAAACAGTAATAAACCAACAAAATCTACAGAAGTAAATTGGAAAATCATCGAATTTATAAAATCTATTTTGACAACAGTGCTGGAGTTCAGTTTATCATTCCTGCACTTACAGTACTGGATATACATGAATAAAAGGATTATCATAATTTAAGGAAGGGATAATGAAATTTTAAAGTTTCAGCAAGCAGATTTCAACAGAAATAACTTGTTCCAAAATTAAAACCAGGATTTGTTAGCAGATACAGAACAAAAAATGATTACTTTAAGCTATTTTAGTGATGTACTCAGGCAACAGAAACATTACCATGTGGCAAATAATCATACATTATCACAAACAAGATAAAATTAATCAGGATAAACAAGTCAGGAACAACGATTAGACTAATGCTTATAAAAATGAATATGCTAGAAGAAATTAATAGACAATTCTTTGAAACAAAAACCTTTTTTTTTTAATAGGTAGTAGTTTCACAATCTCTAGTTTCACAGAACATCTAGATGTTTTGGAGATGATTCAAATTATGTTAAAAAAAAGGCTTGTGTGAGTAACACCCTGGGGTTAAGATTTTATTAGAGTCAGACACACTGAGAGAGTGTAATTTCTCTGTGTTTTCAGGCAACAAGTACAAGGAACAGTACCTGCAAATTGGATGAATATGTTTGGTTTCTTTTGAGTTTCTTCTAAGCTATCATTACAACAGGCAAATGAAAGAAGATACGGTCTAGATTTGATCACTTGATCTTTGTGTTGGCCTTCCCTGACTAACCCTAAGAAGAGGGAGACAAAAAATCCCACCCTAGGATAATATGAAATGTGCCTTTATTTACATGTAAGATTATGTTTCTTACGAAACAAGGCATTAAGCAAACCATAGATTACAAGCAAACCACAGCAGTCATGTAACCATATGTTGTCTGCCTCCTAACCAGCTCTTCTTGGCAAGTAATGACAACATAAACCTGAATTTTGTTCTATACAGCAAATGTACTCCTCAACCTTATCATTTTTACACTGAGTTTAAAAGAAGACTATTTGCAGAATTAATATAGGTATATGATGATGATGATATACTGGTAAAGATTATATAATGAATAATGGTAACAGAGATGTGCTGTTCCTTTCAATGGACTTAGATGTTGAAGTCAAATCTGAAAACTAATAAATCAGTATACCAAACTGCTAGTCTTTTGCTGGTGTTTGCATGACATTTATTATTGTGTTCTCTCAATTAAGAGATTACCAGGACCTGGTGGAGTTCCTTCTCCGCACTGCTCCAAGGCACAGGCCTTGTAAAGCCAACAGTGATACACATCACCTCACAGGGTTTGGAACAACAGGAATAATCTCCCTGACATTTGAGTTTAAATGTTTCAGCTTCCTTTTTCTTCTCTCACTGCACACCCCCACCCCCAAAATGTACAAACTGTTTCTGAAGTAACAACTTCATCGGCATTCATACAGCTTTGAGGTAAGAACTTGAACGTTAAGAGTGTGAATGACCTATCTTTTGAGCTACATTCAATGCAGTGCCTAGACGTGAAGTTGCTTTTAAGCCATTTTTCTATTAGAAGAGGGCAATGACTGCCCCGGTCCCTATCTGACATCTGAGAGCCTCTCAGATCACTCTCATTACAGGTGGCTACCGCTTACTCCTTCTATTCCACCAGTAGGAAACAGACACGTAAAAGAAGGTTCCAGGCACCCCTCCTCTCCTCTTCAGGATGACAACAGCAGGCAGACGTGTGGAGCTGGACAGAGTGACATACCAACTACACCGGCTCGGTGCCAGCTAGTCTTCTCAGTCTGCATTGTCCCAGTTGCAGACAGCAAGCATAATAAAAACCTGCACCTGTCCTTTAGCACTTAGTAGGAAACACTTCTGGTTTTCAGCTGGGTTGTGTTTTTTCATTACAGCAATTCCATCAAGCAGAGAGCAATGAAAGCAGTGAAAAAACAAGTATGTGGAAACAGTGATCACAGAATGAAAAGACAGTATAGCTTCCCAGTCTCCAAAATAATGACAAAAGTAAAGGACACAAAGTAACAACATTCAAAACTACCACTTATCTGCTTACTATTGACATCCCCACCCATCTAATTCATTGGTACTGCTCATCTGGTGTCTCACATCTACCTAACTGGAATGTTTTAATCATCCTGAATTTACTTCTAAAGACAATTTATCAGATTACTTACTCATGCCATATGATACTACCTGCTGAGAAACACATCACTTGAAAAAAACAACAATCACATTTGGGAGATGGATAAAGAAAACAGGAAGAGTTCTTCGATGGTCAGTCTTAAAGAGCAAATCCAAGTACAGTATAGATCACTAGGGAGCTACTTCTTTAAAATAAAAACATTATGATAATGAATTAATGGTTATGAAGGGAGCTTTTACAAAATATTGTTTGGATTTAAACAAATGAATATGTCTCAGGATTCTTAGAAATAAAAGGCAAAAGAAGCAGCAGACAGACAGATGTAGAAGGACAGACCTGAACATTTCCCTTTTGTTGGTCACTGGCACATTCAGTTTTATCGCCTTAAAACTGAAGGAACTTTTGGCATATCTGAAAGCAGTTTTCTTTTTGAAAACTGAAGTTTGCCTGTTTATGCTATCATCTGACACCCTGAGGAGCCTTCAGCTTTCAGTGGAGTAAAACATAATGCCAAGTACTTATATAATTTGAATCCTACCAGACAGCTGTAGGAGCTGTACAATACACCATCAGTGTAAGGTCTCACACAAGGGCTTGAGCTAGATTAACAGCTTGTCACCGCCTCTGCCAGGGAGAGCCTGTTCCTTCCTCCCATCCACCCATGCTCATCATCTGCCCTCAGCCAGCTCTCTGATCATCTGAACAGATAGTAAGCAGGTTTAAATGACTAAAAGAGCAGAAAAACAACCTGGAAAAAAAAAAAAAAAGTATTTCTTCTTGAGTTACAGAAGTTTAACCAGGTCATCTCGTGAATAAATGAGCAGGACTGGCACTGAGGAGGAGGGGGAATCACATGCTTGGATGAGAGTTTGGGGAGGAGAGGGAGCAACGAGAGCCCCTCTGCTTCTTGACAGTGGCAAGCTCTTTACTGGCTCAGCCAGAACATGAAGTCATGTTTACAGATGAACTTTGCTCCCACACTACAAAACTATTGTGTTTTTCATATTACGGTAATCAAATAACTTCTATATGGTCTTCCTAGTTCACAATATGCTAGCATTTCAGTCAGATTATGCCTTTCTGTGGGGAAAATAACCACATGAGGTTAAAGGCTGCATGGAGAAATGGAGGACCAAGAGTCCCATATGAGATATTTCTAAATGCAACTGGAAGGAAGCAGGGAGGGTACAGCTGCTGTTGCTTCTTCACAAAATGAGAGCATGGATTTATTTGGAGATTGTTTTTCTTGGGAGTCACTTAGGGGAAATTAGGTAAGAGCTAGCATAAGAGCTCTCCTCAGCGGACAAACCTCTGAGGCTAATGTAGGATATTTCCAACCTCAACAATGGAGTCTTTGGGCCTCAGCATCCTGGAAAGTTAGTGCAAATGAGGGAGGGATTAATTTGTTTTCTTGCTAGTATGCATAAACTCTCTCTGACGTTGCTGACTCAGAAGTAGAACATGTTCATACAGTTACTGCACATTCTCATTAATGGCCCACCAAGAGGAATCTTTAAATTTTATATTAGATAGTGAATGAAGGATCTGCTATCGAATCCTCTGTATCACTTATTACCAGCAACTCTTACCAATTTATTTTGTTAACCAGTAAATAAGGAAGGTTTAGCCTCTTTTGAGTGAACATCTTTGATTTCACAACTCATAAAGCATTTCCTGTGAAGACACTTGGTAGAACTGTCAGTTCCTTTCTAAGCTTATTGTATTCATAGGTGTATGTCATTAAATCAAGAAAGGTAGATGAGTTCAAAACTAGGTTTTGGATCCTTGTAAGAAATGAAGTACTGCAAAAGACGGTCTAGTCAAAAAGTGAGTGTAAAGACACAAAGGTCAGATTAATAAATAAGTAAATCAGACTTGAAAGTGACACTGTATTCTGCAATCATTTTTAGAATTTGGAATAGCTCTGGGCCACTTTATTTTGGTTATTTGTTTAAATAGAATTCTAGCACTCTATTTCAGGTGAAATACAGTTGTTTCCTATACCTAGGCATCCTTTTATGGCAAGGCAAATGTAGGCATTAATAAGTAATTTATCTTCATTTTTATTTTCACTGACCATATCTTGGAAGAATCCCTTCAAGTTTCTTTCTTAAATGGGAATTCAACAAACAGATGGAACAAATTTCACAATAAGCACAATAACCACGTCAGGTGTCGCTGCACCTTTTACCTGACAAGTCAAAACTGTAAGACATGCTAAGTGGCCGCAATGCTGTAAAAAAGAAACAAAAACAACAAAAAGAAAACAATTCAGCTATTAGAAAAGCAGAGGGGTAATAAAAACAAAAGATTAACTCCACTTGAGACATTTTGGATTCTGTTGGCTAAATCCAAAATGTGTCAGACATACTATTGCTTTACTGTAGTAAAGCTCAAAGTCTGAAAACTACAGTAGCATGAATGGGACTTGCAAACAGAGCAATTATAACTATATTTGTATAGATGCACAATAACATTTTTGGAATTAAATAAATCAAATATCAAAACAAGAGGCAAGTATCTTAAAAATGGAATATTTTCAACTAAAATGCCATAAAGGAGAGAAAGGGGAAAGGGGAAAGAGAGAGAGAAACAGAAGAGCGGAAAAACCTCTGAAAGTACAAAGCCACATTTCACACAAGTTTCAGTGACCTGAAATAAAGATATTTCTAATTTTTTTAAGCATAATCTCCAATGATTATAATTAAAATAATAAAGAAAGACACTCAAGCTAAGCTTGAGCAGTAGTTTCCTTGAAGAGGATGGAAAAAAAGGCCAAACAGTGTGACTTGTGCTGATTCTTGTTCTTTTTAAAAAAACTTAAGTGAACTTAGCCTTTAGAATGTATCCATAATATTATCCTCTTCTTTCTGGGCTTCTAACCATTTTATGCCTAGATAAGAAAGTGGTCAGATGTTCTTTATTTCTGGAAAGATCTATCTATATTTCCAATTAAACAGTGTAATTCAGGGAGTAGACAATCAAAATATTTCTCAACTGAAAACAAAATTTCAGTGCACTAATCCAAATAAGCAGGTCAAGCCCAGAGACAAGAATGTACAAGAACACATCAAAACTGACATCAGCTTACCCATCTTACTTGACAGGTGATAAACATGCAAGTTGGTATGAAAGGGTCTGTCAGCCACACATACCGCTGCATTAAAAGATGTTTAAAAAAAATGTTGTGCTGGGACAAGTTTTGCTCATGAGAATAATCTGTGTGGTGAACACAGTAGGTGGCTGACTCAGAGCCAAATTTGGCAGTCAAGATATTTTTCCTGTAGTTCATAAACTAGACAACATCAGCCACAGATAACAGCTACAGAAACAGTATTTAAATCCCCATCCAAACTTAGCATAAATGGAAATATATTTTAAAGCATAAGGGTATTTACCACCTAATGCTGAGTCCTAACTGAACATCCATAAACTATGTACATGAAAAAAAAGTTTTCTCCAAGCTCCGTTAGCTAAACTTGCTTGAGTCATAAATCCATGTTTTTAATTAAATGGACATGAAACTCATGGTTGTGTTTGTCTCAACAGCTTACTCTGATGATTTTTGAAGTCATTTGAAAGCTCTCTCCAATTCCTCTACTCAAGCCTCTCTCTTTATGAGAGCAGCTACCAAGATTAAATTACCATTTCCATAGAAGTTTTCAACTGAGAGCTGGCAGCCACAGGCTGGTTTTTCTCAGTGGCAGCTCAGGGGAGAAAAGATCTTACCTGCATGCATGTGTTGTGCAGAGCAAAGGGACCAGCCTGTGGCTGCTGGGAAACACATGCCATACATAGGTCCATCCATATCACAGAGGAGGAACTGCAAGAGCACAGTCCCCCTCACCCCAACAGTCGAGTGTAGTTGTGTGCTTGACTGCTATAAACTGAGCAACAAGGAGTAACTCTGGGACATGTGCAATGTACCTTATACTCCCAAATATTTCACTCTAATGCTTTTTTTGTTTCTTTTCTTTTTAATAGCAACAAGTATTTCTGTCCAGATGGTGCAAGTGTCCCACGTGGTATTTCTCCTTAAGATTTATAATCCTTAAATCTCATTACCTTACATGTTGTTACACTAAGTTATAGGGCAGATCTATTTGTACCATACTGAGTATCACTAGCATTACTCCGTTCCCAATTCTGCACAAACACATTTTATTCTAAAAGAAAATCTGTATATAACAATAATTTCAGTGTGAGAAAGAACAAACCCTTGTATTTCAACATAAGAACAAATTATCTTTAAGGCCTTTGCTCTTTTTTCTTCTTCATGTCAGCAGCAAATAAAACAACTGGGAAATAAAACTGGCATGCATCCCCTTTTACACCTCCAGTAACATGGCATTTAATCCAAATAATTCACTGGACTGAAGGGGAATTACCACAGTTCCACAATTCAAGAATTTAATTCTTTAACTAAAAAGGAAGAGTTAGTGGAAGACAGCTATCCCTCATTGGAGGCCATGCGCTGAAATCAGCCCAGGAAGTCCTAACCAGTAATAGTCCAAAATTTAACATTGTTTTTAGAAACTGTTTACTAAATGGTTTTGATGTAATTTATATCAGTTAGAAATTGTAAAGATCTATTAGATCAAATTTCCTGCCCCTAAGAGGACACGATAGTTCCCAGATGGAGAGCATTTAAAATACTGAAACAATGTTTGAAAGAAAAGCAAGGAATTGTTCCACATTTCTACAAGCTTCCTACATTTGGAAAAATGTCTAGGCCTATTAGAAACATTAGGTGATACAGCAAGCATAAACTGAATCCAAACCAGAAACTGGAAGGCCCAAAGAAACAATATTCAAAACACCAAGCTTTTAAAAATGCACTCAAGCACTCGACAAACTCTACCAAGCACTTCAAGAACAATGCAACACAGCAAGACTGACTGTTTTTCTCCAGAGACAATGGGTTGTCACAACCCACTTGAATCTGTATCAGTGCCTTTAAGCACATGTGGCAAGCCCAAATATTGTGCAAAAAGCAGCAACAGAGTGGATTATTTCATGCCTTTTCAGCCAAAAGATGCCACATTTGGTCTTCAAAATCACAGCTATCTCAGTTTTTCTGACACAGTTAAATAGTGTACTCTTAAAGAAATTTAAGTCACCATGTAAGACTATATTTGTCATGCTTTTGTCAACAGAACCATTGAAATAAAGCAATTTGGTGATCATTGGAAAGCATAGTATTTGTATAATTTCACAGTGGATCGTTGAATATTCACTGCAGAAATTAAATACTTAGAATTATTTGCCCACTGAGAATATATACAAACACATGTTCCATAACTTAGAAAACGAAGCAAAGATTCAGCAAACAAAATCATAGTGGATTTTAAATGAAAATAAGGAAATAGATGATGCTAATAAAAAGAAACAAAGATAATAAAATTAATTAAAAACAGACATGTAAAGAATCCTTGCAGATATGTAAGGAATGCACTGGGGAGAAGCAATACCCATTCCAGTCTGAGCAAATCTAACATTAACTGTCATATGCAACAAGCAATATAATGCCATTAAATTTATCTACTACTTATATTAAAAACATGAAGGGAATCAGGTTGAACCATACAGTATCTTATTTTTAAAAATAACTTAGCACAAAGACTGCATAGTCCTAGAAAAGCCTGTAGCTTCTTTCTTCTTTCAAAGGGATGAGAACAATTTTATCTTCAGTGACATCTGCACCGACATTGCAAATATTGCTGCATCTTATGGTGGAAGTTTTCTGTGGATGCTGCAGGTAAAAACTAGCAATGTGCTTACCCAGCCTGCTACGCCTTATCTCATCAGGTGAGACTGGACGTAACTTCCTCTCTGCCTTGATTTCCTCCAGTATCCTTTCATGAAGGCTCCGTGGCCGTGGCGGAGTTGGTTTCAGTTTTCTTGCCGAGGCCTTGGGATATAAAGATAATCATATTTACATTAAACAGTGCTTCCTTGGAAGCAGATGTCACACTTTTTTGGAAAAAAATGTGGAAAACTGTGATATGATATTACATGCACTCAATTGTAAAACTCACATAAATCAGAGAGAGGATTGTATTTTTCCCCAATTCATTATCATTTCCCAGAAATAAAGGCCTGCTGGTATTAACAGCTATTAACTGGTAGGTGCAGGATACTACACACTGTTCTTTAAGAGACTGTGTTCTACATACAGAAGATAGTATTTTTGAAAGCCCATGTCAGAAAACATATTATTTAACATATTCTCTGGACACAAACATGCTTCAAAAAACCACACTTTCGCTAGGAATGAAGCCCACTGGATTACATACAGGATTTAATGGAGGTCTCGATCGGATGAAATCCAGGATTATTTCATGGGCACTCTTTTTTAATCGAGGTGGAATGTCACCGTTGACCTGGAAAGGAGAAAGTGAAATATGTATTTCCATGGTTTGTATTCATATTCATGCAGATGATGAGATCATTTGAAAACTCACAACAACCCTGACAGAGCGTGCAGTATCTGACACCTGCACCAGATGTAAAACCCCACCAGTCCTGAGCAGAACAACAATCCATATGCAGAGCACAGGCAAGCAAAAATGTAGATAACAGCTTTTAATCTTTGCAGATAGCTGCAGAATAACCACAGCTGCAGCAGCTTTAATCAGCAATACTTAGGATTTTTAAACGATGCAATCAAACATCATGACTGCAATCGTGTCTATGGAGAATGCAGATGAAGATTGTATCCTGCTTGGAGGAAAAGTTGCCAACATCATTTTTAAGAACAGCTATTTGAACCATGTGTCACTGCCAGCCATTACACAGTCTATACTCTGCTCTTAGCCTCTGAGAAAACATGGATGCTCTTTAAGACCCCAGTTTTCTCGATCTCCTTGCCATCTTCCAAGCACTATGTGAAAGCAAAGCTAGAGCTGGCACAATCACCAATGATTTGCTTGTAGCAATGGATGAAAAATATGTTCCCATTGTTTTTTTGTCTTTACCACCTGTCTCTGCTGCTCTGGCCATGAAGAGGTGCCCTTGTGTATAAATCCCAGCAGAAGGAGAGGGAAGCCCTGAGCATGGTTTCATAGCTACCTCTTCATCTGCACTTTAAAGATTGCTCAAGTGTAAAATGAAGTTTGTTAATGTAGCTAGAAATCAAATCACCAGAATGCCATGGCATGCCATTGGAAGCACAGGAAGTACGCTTCCTTGCTGTAAATCATAAAAGAGGGGCTGAGTGAGGGTTGTTTGCTTGTTTGGCTGGTTTTCTCTAGAGAGAAAGAGACATTTCTTTCTCTGATACCTCATTTAGACATAAGACCATATACAAGACATCACAGGAAAGAGTCAACAATTCACTATATGCATAGGTTATAAAAGAAGGCAATGAAAGTTTTCCTATCATATGAAGAATTTATAAATTGTAAGCTAGGAATAAGTGCATGAATTTGCTTAAAAAAAAAAAAATCTACCTGTCAGGTTCAGTCTTCATACAGCACAGTGCCCAATCACACTGTCAGGGATGAGAGAACATCCTATGCCATACATCCTTCTGGTACCTTCTATTACCAGACAACAGCTGGATATCCAATTTGACAGAAATTCCTTTGACACTATATTTCTTAGATCTAGTGTTCCAAATTTCAGCACTTTTTTTTTCTATTTTTCTTTTTTTTCCTCTTTCTTTTTTAAGGGTGAGTTTGCTCATTGTTCTTTGAGAGACTATTCATACAATCTCTGTAGTCAGAAAATACCTGTAAAGACACAGCTCTGTGTCAAATCACATGCACTTTTGCTAACCAGAAGGAATACTGCAGTCATAAAAATGGGCTTAAATGCCATTAAGGTCACCTGAACATAATCCCTAACTGAACTTCAGTAACACCATGCAGTTTCCATATAAGCTGTGCTCACCTCAGACATGCTGTTTCCAGGCTGAGGCAGAGCGACAGCCTCCCAGAGAAGATTCATCCCTTCCTGATAAGGAAGCAGCTGCAGAGTCCATCCTGTGGAACATTTCAATTGCTTTCCTGGGGACTCTTTCTGGAGGTATCCTACCCTAGATATGGTCCAAGTTCCATTTGTTCCCCTCACCCACCTCCTTATCTCCCTTGGAGTGAATTTCATACAGCTTTGCACCAAATACCAAGCTGCTAAACTCCACAACATGCATCACCTTCCCTAAAAGTAGTGCAGAAAAATTAAAATTGAAAAGGTTTATATTAAATGGTGATTTGACATTTTACGACGAAGAAAATATTATTTTAAGTGGTGTGATTGATTTCTTCTGTTTAAAGACTGAGCATTTTTTTAAGGCCAGAATGCTTTGCAGGATTATTAATGAAATGAGAAGTCTCTCTTCCCCAGGTTACTGTTCATCAGATGTCAAAGTTGATAGCTGAAATTGAGAGTTATTACTATCAGAAGAGTCATTTTGTAAACTGATAATCTCCTTTCCAACCTCTCTGCACAACAACAGGAAATAAATAATACATGGCTCTGAGCCTTTCACCTCAGGGCACTCTAAGCCCTGACATAATGCCACTAGGGTATAATTAGTTTCAGTATTCCCATCTGATTGGAAAAGGAGAAATGGAAGATTTGCTCAAGGTGTTTTCCAAAGGATACATGGGCATCTGGTGGCAAAGCGAGTGGATGTTTCACAGACAAGCCAAGAACAGGAGCGCTGGTGACAGAAGCTACCTTCTCATTCTTGGCACGCAGACAAGAAGCTTTCCAAACAGGAAAGACACTGAAGGGAAGCTTTTATCTCTCTGTCCACACTAGATCCATTTCTTTACTCAAACTAAGTGTCTCTGTATTGAGCTATTTCATGTGCATCTTTTACTTTTAATTAATTAAAATTCATGGCTCTTGATTAAAGTCTCAATCAGAGATATATTGCACAGATGAAGCCATGATACATGCTGGGGAGAAAAAAACCCCAAACAAATCAAACAAAACAAACTGAAAACCAACAAAATTATCTTTTTTTTCCACATACCATATTGGTCCAACTGCAAACTACTACTTAAGTAAATACCTCAAAACACTGTAAAGCTATATTAAGTCTTCATGTGTGTAAAATGGCTTTTGTACACCAGTATGCATTAACACTGGCAAGAAAGCATAACCAATGATTATAAAAATCAACCAGAAATTTAGAGATCTAAACAGCTAAAGCACATAAAAATTACCATGTAATCATCTACACGCTCACAACTTGCTACCATCACATTTTAATATATAAATATGGATGTGCAGTTAAAAAAATAACTGCAAATAGTACTTAGTTACCTTTAGCTGAAATCTGAGCTTTAAAAATGCTGATCCCAAACAAGAAGTACATTGTACATGACTTTCACAAAAACTACATCACCTATCATTGACATTCAATTATCTCAGCCATTTATTTGTCTCACTAGAAAAGATGACAGCATTAAGTAGGGGAGTGCTTTCTCTAAATAATAGGTAACATGAAACTGATACTGTTTTGTACTATCTAGAAATTTTAATTTAAAATGAAATTGCATGGACACTGAAACAGACAGAGGGGGCATGCTACATCATTTCCAGAACAGCTCATGATAAAGTCCTGTAGTGGATTCAAGTACTATCAGTGGATATATATTTGCCATCTTTCATTATGCTGACAGTATAGTGGTTTCGCTAACATAGTTATTACACAGCACGTATTGGACACCACACAGCCAGCTCAAGCAGCAGTCTCCAAGGATTAAGTGCTTTGGTACTTCACATCGTAAACCACTGTATTTACAGTGCTGTTCCTGCAGATCCATTATAGATACAAGTTTATGACACTGTTATGATATCCAAATTACTTACACAGTCACTCTGTCTTGGAATACCCCTAAAGCACGATGAGGAGCTGTAAAGCTCACTGCTTTACCTAGGATGACTCCTATACTTCTGCAGAAACATGTGACAAAGGCAGAAAATGAAAAAGGAAACCTGCTTAAAGCAGCTGAATACCACTGAGTAGAAGTAAATCAGACCTGGGTGTAAGAGAACAACAGACTCTGCAGTGCTCAGCTGGACAAAATGGTCAAAGTCTTCTCCTCACATTGTCTACGTCCAGCTTGAAACCTCTGAAATCTCGCTTAATTTAATTCTTAAATTTCTCCAAGTGTTGACTCTACCAAAGTTGGCAATTTTTAACTTGTTGGGAGTGAGTGCTCCATAGGAGAAAAATGCTATCAAATCTCTCCAGGAAGACATTTAAAGACTATAAAATGCCAGAACAAAAGTTACCTTGTTCCCACAACCACCATAGAAAAAAGGACTCTTGCATCGGGATAGAGATGACAAATTTGAAATTATTTTCATGTGTACTGAAATAGAAACGCCAATGTCACTGAAACTAACAAAACCAGTTATTTACAAAAAGCCCAGAATCTGACATTTTACATCTTCAAAACATTTTCAATATTTGCACTAAGACAGAAGATGGGCAAGAACAGACAGCTCCAGTTATTGGCATCTGTTAATTCAACGCTTCTGATAGTCTGAAATACCAAAATAGTTCCTAAGTAATGCACCTAATAGGAACATCTGTTCCTTTCCTAATTTCTACTCAGAGTACCGAGCAGTCAGGGACAGATCAAGGTACTCTTTTAAACACAGCATTATATTAATAAAAAGATCAGTAAAGATTTAATATAGCATTTAATTTATTATAAAAAAATTACTTAACCTCTTGTTTTCATTAGTAGCATACGCATTTTCCCAAGCTACCAAGTCTAAAAATACTACCTACAAATTTAAAGCAAAAATCACTTTTAATAAAAATTTTGCCAAACATACATTTTGACTGATAGAAAGAAACATAATCCATCTTTCCCAGGCTGACTTAAAATTCAGATTTAGGATTCTTGTCCTTTTTTCCTCTTCTCAAGAACCATGACAGTTTTCTCTAATGGGAATACATGTAATCAGCCTTGACCCATGACAGTCAGCTAAAAGATGCGATCTAACTAAACTTGCAATTTCATGCGAATCCTTCAGGCTCCACACATTCCATGTCAAGCTGCACTCATTATTGTGCATGCTTTGCACATTCTTCAAGCAGACACCGCCGCACAATCCAAGTTACCGAATACAAGGTTTCTAATAAGAAAGAGATTATTTTTCTAACACAATGTCATTAGCAGTTGTCAGACTGAGCCAGCAGTTGCATCATGGACAACACTACAGGTACTGTACCTGCAGCTGATTGCAATCCCAGCACATTTTTACACCCAGAAGTCACTTTGGACAATCTACCTAGTAGACAAGATATCGGGACAAAAATAGATGTTTGCAGGGATTTCATATACAGAGAGAGTCTGGATGAGCAGAGGAGCAGATGTGCCTTCAAGACCTACCATATAATGAAGAAAATCTCTTCTGAAGAGGCAGGAGCTTGCTCAGCAGAAGACGAATTAAAGGCTAGTCTGACAAAAGCAAAATTAGATGACCCAGGGGGTTCCCATTCAAACAAAACTACTATCCTGATTGCATATAGTAATCAAGGTCCTGAGGGTACTGCTCCCCTTTTGCAGTGGGTAGTAGGAACACTTAGCACAGTTCCCTGAATTGTTAGCGGAAAGACAGATAACATCATTACCTGTACGTACTTTATCCTATTGATTTAACATTAAAGCAACATCTGCTGCAGAAAATAAATACAATGTGATAGTCTAAATCCAGATCTTGATTAGAAAACTACTTTCACCTCATATATAAAAGGCATTTATATTTGTAACAGAACTAATTTATTTGCTCATCATGTAGTTGTTCCAATTTTTAATTCCTTTATTCTTTTTTCTAATGATCTCTGATAGAACAAACGACATGCTTCCTGTCTCTCCCATCTCCCCTCCACCCCCATCTCTGAATTTTTCTGGTGGAATCATGCCTTTCTCACTAGCAAAGGCTGTGTGAGATTTTGTCAGGAAAGTAAATACATTTGAACACTGAATATTCTAAGAAAATGCTTAGAAAAAGATAAGTAAGCGCAAGGTATAAATATTGACATTGACCAAAAACATGCCTCTGACAAAGGGGTTTAAAATGTCCTACTAGGGATAAGGAGTCCTTTAGATCAGTTGCTAGCTTATTAGGAAGAACACCTTAATGTTGAACACGATATAAACCAAAAGGAAAGAAAGAACAGGGAGACACCAGTAAATACCAAATGGGTTCTGATAAAAACAGTGCCCCAAGTCAATCTTACATGCACTTTTATGAGTATCTAGGAGGAGGAGACCCATCAGTACTCTCCAGCTTGCTTTGGCATGTTGTCTTGACTTGAAAACAGCAATAGGATATGCTGAAAATAATTAAGCTCAGCTTCTACAAACTGAAGATTTAACTTTTTTTACATAGAATATTCCTTGAAAATTCGTAACAGATCATGGTAACCTAAGTTTTCAAACACTGTAATATAGATAGTAGGTAATAGAAGTTTTCAACCACTGCAGGTTTTCCTTTCCCGTCATAGTATGACTCATGGAACAACATGGTAGCACTTTACATTCTGGAATTCCAAAAGTTATGTTGTAACTCAAGATAAATGTTCTCCCCAATAAGAAAATTCTAAAACAATCTCTCAGTGGAAAGCGTGACAGGACTTTTGATATGACTCTTAAGGTTATCATAAAACCAACACAAGTCATTTGTTCAAGCATATGATATGTAGGTATGTCGTTCAGAATTTTAAATGCCTGCCATATGGAAAACAAAATGAACAACATTTGTTGGTTTCATGTTTTTCCCCCCTCAATGTACTATGTAAATTTAAGATGCCCTGAACATTACTATCTGCATGAAATCATAATTTCAAAGTTCTCAGAAAAAAAAGGGAAGAAAATAAGAAGACAGAAAAAGAAAAGAACATTTCAGATTTGACAAATTCCAGTGATTCTCTTGACTTACCATGACCTTCCTTAAGGTATAGCGTTTGGATCTAATATCATCCATCAGCATTTCATAGGGTGTGAGCTGATATTCTATGGGGAGTGGGTTGTACTGACGCTCTTGAACTTTCTTAAGTTTAACGCCATTCCGTAAATCTCGCATCACTTGTACCCAAAAACGAGCCTGAAGAGAAAAAAGAGAGAAATTTTATTTAATACCTTACCTTTGAATATTACCTCAGATTAAACCAAAGTCGTTCATTCCCTCTTCAGGACGTCACCAAATATGTACAGCTGCACTATTTTATTTTTAAGACATCAACCAAAATCCTTATATAAGCCTATTTTTAACCCTCCTAAATATAACAAAATTCTGTTGCAACTCAGCAGGACTGCAGAGTCTCATCTCAAGTGATGTTAATCTCTAAGATAATACAGAAAAAAAAGATCTAAAATTCTTATACCATACGTCTGTATTTCCATTTGAAGTATACTGCAAGCGTATCAGGAAAGTTTCTTGACTTATAGTTAATAGTATGTGAATTAAAACAGTGATTTAATCTGAAACTTTATTTCCCTTAGGCCCAGAACTTTCTTGCAAAATTTCCCAGAATTTGTTCTTCAAATAGAAATTTTGGAATGGACTCCAAATTCTAAGGTCTAGCAATGTCCTCTCAGTACTCAACTTCCTTTTGTTCTGCCTATAAGAGCACCACACACTAACACCTTCCTCTCATTTTCTGGGCAGCAAGAATGGCTGGACAGGAGGAAGAGCAGGTGGTGGACAGAAGATTGGGAGATTTAAATAAAGTACTTTTAAGAACCTTGTAATACCCCTCTATGAACTGGCAAGAGTTGTAACTAGAAAATAAAAAAAGCTACTTTCTGTTAAGAGTTGCTCTATAACATTTTTCTTTCACCACTGGAGAAAGTCAGCTGGTGACTCTGACTACTGCCTGGCTGTCCCTTTGAAGGGCAGTCAGCATGATACTTGTCTAAATGTTCAGTCTTTTTAAATTGCAAAAGCTTCTCCATGAAAACAGTCTAAAGAAAACATGTAATGCTTGGATACTTGTATTGTTTCATGTGTCTGTGAAGGAAGGCTGAGACTCCATTTGGTTCTAACTTGTCATGAGTTACTATTAATTCATACGTTAAAAAAACCAGATACTGATTTTAACATAAACCAAACAACTTTAGGTAAGCATTATAAAGAAATATAAACTACTAGTAATGATGCTAAATCAATATTCAATTTTTGTCTTACCCAGTCAGCATTTTTTAAGTCATCAAGATCTGTGCTGGATTCATCACTTGCCTCTTTGTCCATTTCTTGAATCTTCTTCAGATTCTGTCAATGAAAAGAAAATGACTCAATAAATGAATGGTAGCATTACTCTCAAGTAAAACTGAAGCTTAATATTTGACATCTGTTGAGTTGGGCATTCTACTGAATGTTTTATGACTTGAATAGCAATACTGTAAAAGTAACTTGAAATACTATTTGAATAATTCTCTTAATTGAAAAGTGTATCTTAAATGCTGGGGAAAAAAAGCTTAAGTTTTGAGTATGAAAGTACTTCAGATAATAGCATGCCAGAGGAAAAACTATACACAGAAATTTAAAAATTCCTAAAATTGGGCTATGTACAGAAAAAGACCCAACCACCCAGCACGTCTGTTAAGCTGCAACACAGAAAATGTTACCGACTTGGTAAGGATCTCATTCATACCAAAATTACTGTTATTTGTTGAACTCAAGACAGCTCATTTTTGTAGAAGGAGAAATTCTCAGTAAGTTTGTTATAAGGAGAAATAAACTATGATAAATCCTTTAAAATGAATAATGACAGTCTTGCATGTATATTCAAATTAAATAATCTGTATAACATGGTTATAGATTCTGAAATCTGAGTAATAAAATCTTGTAAGGAAGAGAAATAGATCTTTCAAAGGTTAAAAACTGCTATTTACGAACAAGATCAGATCATGCAAATATGGAAAAGATTGTCTGTAAAGGGGAAAAAAAAGCTTTCATACTAACAAGAATATGAAAAATGGTAAAAAGTTACAGCAGACCAAAGAACAGGCAAGCCTGCACACAGACAAATGCAAATGAAAGATTTTAAAGGCCGCGGCTTTACAGAAATGATCTCATACACATAAACAACTGCATATTCAAAATGCTACTTTTTTTTTGTTTACTTCTGTATAGAAAAGTTCCGGAATCAGCAGTACAAACAAGTTCTCAACATACCATTCCATTTTTACAGAGAGTTTTCCATGAAATCTTTAACAATGTTTAATTTGATCTAAGTACTCACTAATGTATTAAAAATGGATAGTTAAATCCTGTGCTAACTACTTGTTGATTTTATAATACTAAAGCAACAGGTCAGAGATCTGACAGATGTATTTATTTATCAAATATCTTTTTCTCACTTTTAAGCACTCAAGCTCTTCCTTTAAGGCAACTGAACAATCAGTCTCAATTTAGTCTTTGAGCTTCCCAGAAAACTTAAAAATAAGCATATTTTGTTAAAAAAAAATATTCCCGGAAGTAGTTCTAAAACTTCCAACATTTCAGTGGAAGAAATGGAAGCACAGGAAGAGTGCTTAACTTGCACATTTAACAGAGTGCAAGTATCTACCAAACCTGGTTACAGAGATAGCACATGTGAGTCAGCTACCACAGAAGTTTTGCAAAGAGAGCAGGTGGATTATTTATTGTCTTATTTAAGTAACACATTTGCTTTCCTATCAAAGGAGAAATACTACCATTGCCCTATAAAAATAAAATACATAATTTACAGGAAGACTCTAAAAACCCATAAATCATCCACACTACTGAAGTGAATATATCATGGGACAATGCAGGAACATTTTGGCATGATTTGCAGTATCACCACAAGATACTCAAATGGGAAAGAATCGCTTTTTGGAAACTTGTGTTGGTCCTGTCACTGCAGTCAGTTTGACACTTACAGGCAATCACTGTTTTCCAAGGGGAAAAAAAAAGAAAAATTGAAAGAAGTAGTAACATAAAGGTTTTACTTATGTGTATTTTGCCATTCAGGGTTTCTTTTTTTCTGTATCATACAGTTGCAGTAATCACTTCAAATATAGTATCTGTGAACTGCAAATTACTTGCTTTCTTGCACACCGCTAATATTTCTTGATGAAGTATAGCCATTGCCCATCTCAGCAACCATATTCCCTACCATAAATTTTACTGGGCTGGTTTACGCCCAGAGGCTGATGCCTTTGACTGACATAAATACTCCATGAAGCTAAAAAGATTACAACCTGTTTTTCCTAACAGCAGAAAATAAGAAGGGGAAAAAAAAAACAAACCACAAAAACTGAACAGCTGAAAGATCTTCCAAATACGGCAATCATCTAATTAGTTTCTCTGGAACATAGCTAGAGGGGGAGTTTCTACCTGAGAAAGTACAGGTGTAAGCGATGCTGGCTACCAGGCACTGGAGAATTGTAGGAGCAAAACCTGCCAGCCAAGAGATAAGTCTCTCAAAATGGAGTTTTATGATACAAATGAGCTGATACAAGCACAGCCTCCTGCCAAAGCCGGGCTCCCCATCTTAGTGCTGATTGCTCTGGCTGCTGCCCTCGTACCAGCATAGACACCCATTTCATAGGGATAGTTCATTCTGCCCCCAGTACCTGACACAGACCCCTAAATGCAGCTCACCATGCAATCAGAGAAGAAGAGTAGAAAGGAAAAGAATTTCCATCGTTACAGAACTTAGAAAGCTTTGGAGGACTGAGGAGAAAAAAGAAACAGTAGTGGTCTATCCATGCAGCCAGTGCTTAGGAAGGTGCTGCTTAGAAAGGAATAAATGTGACAAATTCTTATGTTTAAACTTCTAGACTAAATGAAATACTATCATTTCCCTCCAGCACTCCCAGCCGGCATCAGTGGGTTTCTGCATCCGTTTCAATCGTAAATTATGGAAACCAAAACATTTACAATACAAGAGACCATTTGTCAGAACTTAACTGTGATTCAAAACCTGGAAGCAACCTCAGCTGCTATAGTCACTTGTACTCACCCTTGGGACAACAGCTTAAGAAGAGCTATTACAGTACAATAAATACATGGCCTAAATGGGTTTCCATTTCAGAAAGCAGAAACATCTTAAAAGGGTTTTTCTAAACGATCCCAGAACCTCAGACCCATGCCACAGACCTGATTCACCTATTACAGCCTGGGCATTTGTTCAGGAAATAAGGGTTGGATGTGTAGGAAGTGAGTGTTTCAAAAGCTTTGGCTTTTTTTAAATCATTAGAGCATTTGGCCATTTTTAAAAAAACCCTGCATTTTGTGACAAAAGCTAGTAATAAAAATACCAAATGTCTTCAAACGTCTTGCTGCACTATTAAAAGCAGGCAGTTGATTTGCTGCTGCCGTGTCCCACATTTGAGATGCGCTCTCCCGTGCTCGGTGACAGATGGGAGTTTATATAAGACACTTGTCAGCACAGCGTCAAAGACTCGCTTCCACAAAAGGCTCTCTAAAATGCAACGTTTTAATGAAGACTGTCTCGGGAATACAGATCTGGACTTTGTCTTTCACCAACTGCAGAACATAGTCTACTGCAGTTCCCAGATTATAATTTGTGTGCTCATGTAAGTCACTCCTGTGCTGCTATTTGCAAAACTAATAAAATATTCTTGCACCTCCAGACTCAATTTAAAAATATGTAACTTGCACATAGGGCAAAAACTGCTTTTATATATTCAGCTATCCAACTTGGGTTTAAATTCCGTGGGCCTGGCTAGCAGCATTACTCTGATTCTTTGAAAAGACCCAAACCCCATTTAATTCAAATGTGGAAGCAGAATCAATTAGATCAGTCCCTGAAAGCTTCCTGAGTGGATATCAGACAAAGTTCTTCAGATATAGTGGTATGGGTCAATGCACTTTGCTCAGCTCTGGAAAGGGCAATAGTCAGCACACTGCCTAACAGAACTGTTTAAGAAGAGGCAAAAAAATATAAAGTTCCTAAACTGAGGGATCAAACAAATCAAAATGGGGCTGCTTGCCTGACCACAAGACGGTTGCAAAAGCGGAGTCAATGGAAGCCTAGAAGTGTACGCAAAAGTGAAGTTGCAGAAGAGAGAAAAGTTTGTGAATCAATTTCTTTCCCCAGCTGTACTTTCTGAAAATCCAAGCAGCAGGGAATTTAACAGGTCTTACAGTCACAAGACTATTAAGAGTAACTTGGCTAATGATCACATTTCCAAAATAAGTTAGCCATTAACACTGTTTAGGTACCTATTAACTACCGTTATTATCATATTTTGTACAATTAATACAGCAGTATAGCCATGTTAAATGGAAAGTAACACATGACTTTTAATTAACTGTTTTCCAATTGAGTCTTTGCATGGCATGAAACTAGGAAAAAAAAGAAACAATTTCATTTCTCCTCATGTACTTAATTAGAATTTGTATGTTTACATTTTCGTACAGATCAGATTTAAATAGATCCAGGCAGACTGAAAGAATTGTTTTTACATCAGAAAGGACAAAAGTGAAAGGCAATATGATTTAAAAGAACAGTATGAAGACAACAGATTGGGAGCTTTATCTGTATTCTACCAAAACCTTAATTACAAGGCATACTGTGGATAATGAAATCATGGAAGAGTGTTTTATGAACATGGACTTTTACTGCAATTGAAGATGTAGGCAATTATAAAAATATATAAAATCTTAATTAGTTTGGAAGGAATATTAATTTTGATGCTTTAGGGTGTACATAAATCTCTAAAAATTCATGAGATATGAATCAAACCTACTGCAGCAGATTAAGACACATCTGCCTACTGGACACTTCTTGTATTTTACGCTGGCCAGCATCACATGGCGTCTTTTAGCACCAGTTGTGCCAGTTCTGGAGTTTATCACCCACAGCCCACTCACCAATGCTTAACTCTGCTACAGGCTGGCATCATAATTTACTGGTACCACTCACAGAGTGGTTGAGGGTGGAAGAGAGCTCTGGAGGTCAGCTGGTCCAGTCTCCCTGCTTGAGCAGGGCCACCCAGAGCCAGTTGCCCAGCATCAGGTCCAAAGTTGGAGACTCCACAGCCTCCCTGGGCAACGTGTGTCAGCGCTCAGTCACCCTCATAGTAAAAAAGTGTTCCCTGATGTTCAGAGGGACCCTCCTGTGATTCAGGTCGTGCCCATTGCCTCTGGTCCTGTCACCGGGCACCACTGACAAGAGCCTGACTCTGTCCTCTTTGCACCCTCCCTTCAGGTGTTTATAGATGTTGATGAGATTCCCTCTAAGGCTTCTCTTCTCCATGCTGAACAGACCCAGGTCTCTCAGCCCCTCTTCATCTGTGACATACTCCAGTCCCTTAATCTGTCTCTGTGGCCCTTCACTGGACTCTCCAGTATGTCCATGTGTCTCTTGTACTGGGGAGCCCAGAACTGGACCCAGCACTCCAGGTGTGGCATCACCAGCGCTGAGCAGAGGGGAAGGATCACCTCCCTTGAGCTGCTGGCAACACTCCTCCAATGCAGCCCAGGACTCCGTAAGGCTTATTTGTGACAAGGGCACATTGCTGGCTCACTCAGCCGTTAAGTGCACATGGAGCATTAACTCCAGTAGAAGGCAAGACTGGACAGTGACAGGGAGCTGAGGGAGGACTAGGGCTGATATGCCCTCCATAAAGCAGGTACATAATGTACATAGCAGACCAGATGGATCCCCAGTCTGATCCACAGCAGCAATTTCTGCTTTCCTATGCTTCCATAGTCTCTCCCTGTCCCTCTAAGTCACACTTGAAACCATTTCTGAGCAATGTGCATGACTTTTTCAGATACTCTGCAGCAGGAACATTTGCTTTCTCTCATGGACATCACTTATTTGTGCCTACAGTTCTGCCTATGGCTAGGTACCAACAAAGGTGATCTCAATTACTTTTGGATGATCCTGAAAAAGATTAATCTTTTCTTTTACATGAGGTCCACTTTTAGTAGATATTCAAACTATCTCATCCTTCACCACACACACACGCATTTCCTCCTCCTTGTTGATATTTTCCCCCACACACAATCAAAAAAAGGGGAAAGATCCTATTTTTGTGGAATTTTCCTATTGCAATTTTAGAAGCTCACTGCTTGAGACGAGAAAGGAGCTGGACTCCATTTTTGTCATCAGCTGCAAATGCTTAAGCAGCAGGACGTAGAGTTAGGAGGTCTTGGCCCACTAAAAGACCACTTCTGGATGGCAGCAGATGGTAGCCGGGGTGGATCTGCAGCAAGGGCACCTTTCACAGAGCCTGAGCAGCATACAGATGCTGCCAGCAAGCTGAAAAAAACACCGCAGTAAACTTGCTAGAAAAACTTTACACTGCAAAAAGACGCAAAGTTAGATCAGATTAGTTAACTTAATTTCAGCCCTACCTTTGGAGTTGCTGCTGCTATTCCACAGAAATACTTATTTTTCCTACTGTTACTCTATTGATCTTAATTTTTTTACTATTGCAACAGTGGCATCACACCTTTCTCTGCTCTGGCTTGAGTCCTGTCCTGTGCATTTCATTCTTTTTAAGAATGGAAGTATCATCTTCCTGTCTGCAAGTCAGCTTTACTGCTGACCTTTCATACACAGGGAATCAGACTGGAAACAAAAATCACATGGCATCAAGTACGTGACAAAGTGCCCAAAACATTTTATTTGACATCCATTTAGATGACCTGAACAGCTCACTCATTGCTTCATCATTTCTGATTAATGCACTCACCCAAATGCATGCCAGTAAAACCCTTTCTGAAACTACGCTCCATTTGTTATATGACAATGATGTTCATGTGATAGACTGGAGAGCACACGACTACTCAGTATCTATATTAGTAACAAAACATATTACAACCCTATAGGGCTATCCCTCCTGCCTCCTATCTATCCTTCATTAAATCCTGTAACTTTCAAAATCCTGACAAGTTTTTATAGTGCCAAATTGAAAACAGCATCACAGCAATACTTTTTCTGCCTCTTTCACAGTTCATTTCCCTTCTAAACCCATCCTGAGCTGTGACATAAGATTGGTCAGATTTGGTCCACTCCTGCCAAGTGAATTTCTGCAGATAAAAATTCTCCTTCTTCCACTACAGTGAAATTTGTTGTTTAAGGGCCTATGGAGCAAAAACTATGAACTTCATATACCTGGGAAACAGATACCCAGATGCCATCCAGTGGCCCTAGTAGGAATCCAAGGAATTTGAAAGTGATTTTTATTCATAGGAAAGTTATTTTACATAATTTTAGATAATTTTCCCCCCTTTTAAGTGCTTTTAATTTCACTTTGATCTAACATCCACAACTGTCTGAGGGACTGTAAAGGAAGATCTCCAAATAAAGCTGTCAGGTTTTGAAATAAACTAACAGTTTAAAATTCCTGGCATCTTTAGTGTCACAAACGATCTTACACACTATAGGTTTTTTTAAAATTGGAGCTGATGTATATAACTTGGGGTTCCCCCCCCAGTTATCTGCCGATGCAACCGCCACAAATGCATGACAGCAAAGTGTCCTTACTGAAGTATTAAGTGTTTCTCTCCCTTATACCCAATACTCATATGACAATAACAAAATGAAAGGAAAAATGAATTTATTGACTTGAATTGTATTTAACTGTATTCTTCATGAATTAAGATTCTTCTATGTGTTTGCAAGAGAGAAGAGCATATAAACAAGACTACAGCTTTAACTGGCATAAACCTAGTGCTACCATATGATTCCTGTTTGCCTCAAGTATAAACTATAGAGGTCATTTTAAAATGGAGAAACAAGACTTAAAGCATTCCACCTTGTATTTTTTTCATACCTATTTTTTCTTTGTATGCTAAATTATTTTCAAAATTAAACACATTCCAAATCTATAGTTGGATAAAAGCTATAAGAAAGCATAAAGTACATTATAAAACTAAGGTATTCAGATTCCAGAAGCTGCTTGTAAGATAATTTTCTTGTATGCCTACTGGGGGACTGATCCAGACTAAAATGAAATCAAAAGATCAAAATTCTGGCCTTGGTTACGTGCAGCAATAAAAGTGTTACTGATTTCAGTAGGGCCAAAATTCCATTTACAAGGATTACTTCCTTTGACCTAAATGTACTTTGAATCAATCCCTAAAAGACTTTGAGAGGCAAACGGGTTTTTTTCATTAGGGATTAACTCGCAGTATGCTCTATGGTGTGATCAGACGCTGTTGGTTTTTTTGCATCCAGTTACAAGGTGATTAAATAATTTGCAAATTCAAAACACCCCTCTACTTTTATTTTTTTTTTAATTATTATTAAGACTTAATTTTAATTGGCTATAAAACACAATATTTTACTTTAACCTTGACAACGAAGATGCCTTATTACTGCTTACTGTGGCCAAAATGTTCAATAACTATTTGAAACATAATTCCTCTCTGAACAGAAAGAACTCCAAAGGGTCTTATCTTTGTTAGCCTCAACATGGACACAGCAATAGCTCTTAGTTGAGGTGGTCTCTCAATTAGTATATGAAGTGGTCAGAACACCAAGTAGCAGTCAAAAGCTAAGATGTGAAATTAATGATGTCAGGCTTCAGGAGACAGATTTAGCACAGAGACACTGTAACCTGTCTGCTCTCTCTATCAGGGGCATTGGATGCAGCTGAACTGTAACACAGGCACTTTGGAAAACAGGTGGCTCCTCAGCCATGCCGACACTGTCAAAATTATCCTTTTATGATACTGCTTCAGTTGAAAAAATTGCTTTCAGTTTGAGTAGCTCTGTAGGAAAAGTGGAGGTGAAACATGACCCTGTGCAACAGAAAAACATCTCTGAAGGATTCTCCCCCTCAGAGGGATGCAGGAACAAAAGACAGCACTCGTCTCATGCCTCTGACTGGTTTGCATTTTCTGCCACCAGCATGAAGATAAAAGCTCTCCTGTGCTGCTTTGAGCCTCATCTGACCCTTTGATGAGCTAATTCAGCTCATTAACCTGACAAGGAACTACTCTTTTTTTAAAATTATTTTTTTATTTGCTGTGTTTGTTTTCTAGAACCAGATGAAGGAACGCAGTGGGAGCATTTGTGCGTGAGTGGAACAGCTCTGCTTCTTTCAGCAGCAAAATTTTTAGATCAGCTTGTAAAATATTATCCTGCTTTTCAAAGATACTTTGGATCTTTACTTACAAAAGAAAAGAAAATCCTTCAGAGATTTATTAAAAAGAAAAATTATGAAAGTGTCATTACTTGACAAGTTGGCTTTGGTCAAGAAACCAGCTTCAAGAAACATGTTTCCCTTCCTGCCCTTCTCCTCACCCACTGGTTTTCCAACGTAACCAACACCCCCACTGTGTTAATACAATTGTTTATGGAGCCATTCTTCAGGCTGAAACTATCTTCACTAAAAATCATTTGCCCACCCTCAAAGTTATTCTTCAGCCAGACCATTTAATTGCAGTGGTTCATAGGCTGGTCTTTCAGTCAACAGTAACAGCCAAGCAGGTAGTGAATGTAAGCATCGTGACCTACAGGCAGAAATTTTTCTTTAAGTTGGCTCTGCCGTGAAGCCTGTCTGACAGACAAACAAGCCAATCATACATCAAAGGTAAAGGAAGCTGCTGACTAGGGACAAAATATGAGCAAGAAGAATCTCACATAATTCTCAGCCAAAGACAAGGCATAAGAAGGAGCTGAGGAATGACAGGAAAAGCTCTGACACCTCACAACATCCCTGAAACACCAGAGTTTTTAGACTCAAATGCATTGCATACACACATGCAGGAATGGATTCATGTGTGCAATGTGTAACCCTCCAAGAAAAACTTTTATTTTACTCCCAAATAGACAAGTCACAATTCATAACAATTTCTACAAGACATTTATAAAAGGTTACAGGCCAAAAGAAAGACAGTCTACCAGCTGTAGAACTGTTCTCCCTGAACACTACAGATAATTTCCTTCTCAGACTGCTTACCTCTTTTGCACTTTTAATTTTGGCCAAGAAAGTGTACAGTTCCATTGTTTCTGCAAACAGAGCCCGACATACTGCTTGATAGTGGTTCGGCGCCTCTGATCGGGTTGGCAGGTGGGCAGCACACAGCTAGAGAGAAAAATAAATAGCACTATCAAAAGAATGTCCCATTGCTTTCGCTAATGCTACGGAGCATGAGATAACATGAAAGGGAAAGTAATGGAATATTTAGGGCACAAAAATCAAAAAGACATTTAAGTTTAGGCAGAAACTGAGGTGTATTTACTAAACCTTCAGCTACCATTTATTTTATGAGAAGAGTTCTATAAGGACTGTAAGGGGACTGCTTGACCACACCCTGGCAATCTCTGAAAACCAAGACATTGACTTTTCATTAAAAAAAAACCAAAAACCAAAACAAAACAAAACAAAACAGACATTATTGTGAAGGGGGAAAAAGCAATCTTGCAGTATCAAATGTTGGAAAAACATACTTAATTCAAATAAGCTTTAACATCGTGTTGTTTAGCTTCCTATGAATGTGGAAGAGAACTGTATCCCTACCAATTTACGAAAGGATGGAAGGTGAAGCAAGGAAAAAAGTAAAGTGGAATCATAAGCTGAAACTCCGATTTATTTTAAGCAGTACAACAATTTTAAAAATCAGCAAGAGCCATGGAAGCACAGGTTTATTGCTTTACCTCAGACATTCACAAACATTTACAGACACAGCTGCAGCTAATACAAAGAAACACTGATAGGTATTTTCATATATGCACCTGCAGAACTATAAAAGCCTACGCACATCACTAATAATCCTGCACAACTACTGTTAAGCAGTCAGTCAGTCCAGCATTGCTTTTAGAGTAAATCATTCAGCTCCATTAAATCATTCAACTTCAAGAGAAGTTTCACTGAAACCAGCCTTTACTTTTCCAACAGAGAAACTGAATGCTACTAGCAACATCCAGCTTCTACTACTGTAGAACAGCTCAGCACTGATAGTAATTGTTGTAATATCTATTTCTTACGTTTCCCCTAAGTCAAATCCATCACCTGCAAGTATTCATCACAAAAAAACTTGGCTGGAAAAGGACAGAACAAAATAACATATATAATTTGTTCCCTAAACAGTTTAAATCAGAAAAACCCCAAAGCTCAAACTAGAGCACCTGTATCATATATCATACTGGTGTATATATTGAAATGAAACAAAGTCTTAACACAGGCCTTAACATTTGTCTTGTTACTGTGGTTTTATAGTATCTGTTTATTATATATATATATATATATAGCTGTATTTATAGCTATAGAGCTAAGCCTAAGAACAAGTCACAACCTGAGGCAGTACGTGGCTACATTCAGATCTCCAGAACTAAAGCTTGAGACAAAAGCTTCTTTAGGAGAAGAGCCCTTAATTAGCCTAGTGGCATATTTGTCTAAATCTCTCCTGTTAGTACCATGAACACTGTGTTTACAAGGGACACAATGCATGTAAGGCTTGGGCTGCTATTTCATATTGCTTTCAGTTTGATTTCAATCCATGCTGCCACAAGGTGTGGTCCTGTGGCCTCCAGCTGTAGGTGTCCACTGATGCCCTTATGCTGGCACCTGGGTTCGTGCCCTCACTCAGAGAGGATTGCCCACCCGGGGAAAATTAACACCGTCAAGGAAGCGGGGCAGGGGACAACTATTCTGCATGGCACAGACACATGTGCAGTGGTGCGGGCAAAAAGGAGTGAGGGGAACATGCTGACAGAGTGGGGAAAAGGAGGAAGGACTGAACAATGTCTTTTGGTTGCAGTCAGAGTTAGATCAGCTCAATCTCACCGACAAGTTGCTTTCTAAGGCCGTAGTCCCGCCCTGTGTGTCCCACACCCCCCTTTATTATCTTCTATTTCTTCCAATTAGTAAATTAGTATAACAATACAGAGTTCAGTGGTCAGATTTGGTCAATTTTGATAAATTTTCACAGGCATAATTTGGATTCCTGCAATATCCTATTCTGATTATTGTACCTATATATATATATACACACATATGCATATATATTTCCTTTTAGTCATTAAAAAATATATATATATAAGGAAAGTTTGTATCTCTGTGTGTGTATTTTACTTCCTTCCTGTATATATATAAGAAACTCAAGACAGATGTTCACAGCCTTGATTCCTCCCTTTAAAATTTTATACTGCTTTACGATGTGGCCAAGATGTTCTTATACTCTTCAAATTTATTTCTGGATAATCACAAAGATATAGTTGACAAAAAAAACCCCATTTTTTTCTTTCACCCCCCTCTCCCCCTTTTTCTTTTTCTTCCTTTTGCTTTTCCTCTCTCCCTTCCTTTTTTTTCTTTTTTTTTTTCTTTTCTTTTTTCTTTTTTTTCCTTTTAACAAATCATATTGTTTCCTTTGCAGGTAAAGGAAGAAAAATTGAAGCAGATGCACCTCTAATGCATGCTACAGTGACAACGTATACCACAAAGAAGCTATTAAATATTTCCCTTGAGTTAATGAAAAAGTCAGAACAGTTAAAAGACTCAATTCTGAGTACAGTTAATTTGTGTTCCTTTCTCTCAATAACTAATCATGTCCTTACCTGCCTTACTATGTTTTCAGTAAGTTATTTCTGTTTATTAATTATAGTACAGATAGAAAGGGTTTTATTCTAAATACAGCACTTACAGGAACAACAATAAAAATAACAACAGCAGCAATTTCAAAAAGGTCATAAAATGGTACAAGTCTTCATAGTTGAGAATAAAGTTTTATTATTATACAGATTGCACACAGGTTTTTAAGAATTTTATTTATTTATTTATTTAGCAGCATGGTAATTAGAAACAATTTGCATCAAATATTGAGAAAGTTAATAAAATGCAGCAGTGGCAAGTTCAAGCTGGGAATGGATATAATCTTGATTCTATTATTGAACACAAAGTAAAAGAAAAAAAAAATCAAACATCTGCTGCTAAACTTAGGTACAAAAGCAACCACATAAAAAGGTAACCATTTGGTCTGTAAATGTTAGGCTGCAGATATTAAAAGAGGACCAGCAGTTCCTACTAACTTTCATGTTTTGAAAAATCAATCTCTGTGATCTTCTATTATGTGAAGATGCACTATATACAAAAAACCCTTGTGGTAACATTAAGTCAAGTGACTTAGCATAAATTTTTGGATTGGGAAGGTAAGCCTGAAGAAAAAGGAAAATGCAAATAGAAAAGACTAATTTTTTTTCAATTTCATCATAATATATTATACTTACATGTTGTTCAGAGCACCTGACAAGCTATAACTTCTACATTAAAAAATACTGCAAAATCTAGGCAGGCAAGCTAATCAAGCAGATCTCACTTCTAGCCTCTTAAAAAAAAGAAATTCATATCTTTAATTTTATGATAGTAGTGTTTGCAAAGTTATGTTACTGTAACATGCCGCAAAATCACAGTCAGAATGTTTTAAAAATTGAGATATGAAAGGGCAGCCACCTAATGAACTCCTCCTCCTCTTACCGTGTCACAGCAGTCGTGGTGCAAGAAAGACTAAGATCAGGTCTGCAGTCTTTTCCAGCCACTCAGAGTTCATCAAGGAAAGGAAGCCTCTGTACACTGCTCATTCTGACACTTGCTTTTTCATCCCTCATGATACAACTTAAAACTATCCTAAGAGGAATGAATGCAAACAGCGCCCAGAACTTAATGCAAGGGCTGTTTGTTCTTTTTCCAAAAAGTCTCAAAAAGTATGGTTGAAAATAAATTATGTGGTCTTTGCAAACTGATGAAATATCAAAAATATTATCAACTCCTGAAGCATTAACTAGCTTGGTCTGCAAGTATTTCCATTTGCAATCACTATGAAGAGCTGGAATTTTCACACCCACCCCCCCCCAACTGAGCCTGTCCAAAACCTAGCTTGACCCAAGGCATTCAATCTTTGCTTAAATCACTAAGAAGATTAGAGACTGTTTCCATCCACATTCAAGATTCACAGAAAAAAAAGCATTATGTAAACACCAGAGCCTTGCCAGCTTCTCTACCCAAATTCATCCTCAACTGACTAGGAAACAGAGTGTACCAAGCCAAAGCAGTGTTAACAGAAATCACAATTTAACCAGCTGAAGAGATCAAGCAGTATTTCTTGCATCGGTCTGAAAATATTCCATTAAGGACTCCATAAAATTACAAAAAATACGACTGATTCGCCCACTAAAGTCCTATTCTATTTTTGGCTAGATATATACTGGAAGCCTCATCAGAACACCTGGCCTGCTGGAATTCAGATTTCAAAAGAGAAAAAGTGTTTCTGCTTGCAGTCATCCTGGGCAGAGGGCCTGTATGAATGCACCACAAAGAAGAAAAGCATTTCTTTTTCCCATGGGACACCAAGATAAGCTACTAATATGCAAAACATAGTACCAGCCTGCAAATGCCAGGCTTAAGCGTTTTGAAAGCCTTGGAGTATTAACATAGACTTAAAAGATGCCCTTTTCTTAAGCAACACAAAGAAATTACTTCAACCAACAGAACATGCAACTGTTCTAAGTACCTGCCTCATCCTTTGCAGTATGGTACTGCAACAGGTTCAAAAAATAACACTCAGCTTGAGATGCCTTCCCAAGTCAAGGTTATTTTCTGAAAGATTTTATCTCTGTGCAGATAAACTAAGAGATAGGGCAAGTTTTGAGGTGGCTTTCAAAACTGGAGCCAGCTTGCAGGCTCCCTACCAGTTCACAGCTGCCTTCTCAAACTTTCCATGCAGATTTGCCCCTGACTCTGTCTCTTGTACCTGCAGAGGGCTAAGGACTAGCTGATCCCTCTGGTTAAAGGACTGTAGGGGAATACGAGAGAGGTAAGATTGAGATAAGACAAAAGAGAAGGGAGCAGAGTTAGCTATTAATCCATAAAATAAATTCACAGAAAGTACAGAAGTATCCACAGAAATTTACTCCTTCAGGAGAGCTACCTGCAAAAACTATGAAACTTTCAAAATGGATATTTCAAATTATCATTTGCAAGTGCCCTGGCACGTCCAATCGCTTGAGATGTGAATTCCTAATTAATTTTCTACACCTCAAGGAAAAGATAGGTTTTGTAGAAATTGAGGTAAATTGCTGGTTTGCTAGTGT